CTGATCTCTCACCAATCGAGCACATGTGGGATAAGATGGGTCAGCACCTTCGACGTCAACCAGTGTTCCACAGACACTCCAGGAACTTCGAAACATGCTCCAGCAGATATGGACAGATATCCAACAGGACCTTGTGCGACGCCTTGTCCATTCCATGAGACGCAGATGTGTTGCTTGCATCGCAACCAGAGGTGGACACACACGCTATTGGTCTGTAAATTGACATGAAATCAAAGGGCGAGAGGTGAGGTGATGTGAAATGGGGTTTAACATCGCGTCCAAGATTATTGCACTTATATAGTGACGTGCATGTACGTGTGTGTGTTTGTGTGGCTGCATGTACTAGTCCGGACTGATGCCGATTTATAGTGCTAGCACACTGAGATACCATGCCGCAGTTTAACATGAATACCCCACTCAGACACAGTATACTGACTCCGAGCCGACCAGTCCTTGTTTTATCCCCTTAATGCCGAGCGCCAGACAGGGTAACAACAAGTACCATCTTTTAACGTCTTTTGGTATGACGCGGTCGGGGATCGAAACCCGGACCTTCCGCTCTCCGGGCGGACGCTCTACCACTAGACCACGGAGGCGGTCTTCAAAGGGCGAGAGAAATTGCTCCAAACTTTCATCAGGCAACTGCAGTACGAGCTTCGATTAATTGGATTTTGAAACTTGCATATAGGTTTGTATTTATTTCTCGTGTGACAGTAAATGCGTTTACATGTTGGAATGTTTTCAAATGACGTCTAGCTTCTCGTTTAGCCTGTTCACGTTTCCATTCATGTCATAGTCGTCTAAGGCGCTGCAATTCGCTGTGCAGAGTTGCGTCCTTGGGGCACGCCAGAAACCTGTGATTGTAGGTTTGAATCCTGGTTCGCCTAGATTATGTTTCTAGGTTTTTCAGCACCATACCCGTGCTCGTGCTCGACTTGCATCACTTCGGGCTTTCCTCCCACACTAAGCTGACACGAGGTGATAAAACTGGAATACTGTTCAAAGCGACGTTAAAACAAATTATAAAATTCATTTTTTTTGTATCTATTTACAACAGACTTCTGTCGTCATTCCGTTGCATTGAGAATAATGTTTACAAACATTTCTTCACCAACAGCAGCATTAGTTTCCACTATACTTATGTATGTGTCATTCATAGACGGTCAGGAATTAATATCTAATAATGTAGCCTGGTTCACATCTCATCTGAATTTACACGATGTTTCTGCATTCTCGGCATTTACACTGTTAATTATTATATTGAGTTAGCCAGTGGTCAACTGTCTCTGTGACTGCGATAGGAGGGGCATTAATTCCTAGAATTTGTTGTCGAGGAATAAGCGTTGGACCGAACACCTTAAAACAACCAAGAGAAGCATCTATTAGTGGCCAGTCTTTATTCGGTGTATCTCATCAGTCATTTACATATCACAATAAAGCAAGGTACAACCTGAGACAATTAACATATTCCGAAAAATATGAATAACAGTTACAGTAAAACTCTTACTGACAATGTATCATACAATAAACAATTGCGTTTTTAAACAATGAAACGAAGACACTTTAAATTTGGTTGAAAATACACGTGATATAGAACAGTTGAGGACAATGTATGGTAAATATACTCTTCAAAAAAACCCGCAAAGCCAGATTTGTGTGAGGTAGGAAAATACATTTATACGTACAAGGTATTTTGCCAAAATGTTGTGGAGAGAACACTTGGTGATTTTAGTCATCTCAGTTATCGGTACATAGGAAAGGTTCAAGGTGAGGGTCAGCTGCCGTCAATAACACGTATGTCCCCCGTTGGAATCGATAGCGGCCTGACATCACCTGCCCATGGAAGAGATGAGTATGTGAATCACATCCTGGGGAATAGTAGCCCACTCGGCCCGCAACGCAAAAGCCAACTGCTGCAAGGTCTGGGGTTGTGGTTGACGTCGGCGTAGCCGTCTATCCAATTCATCCCACGGGTTCTATCGGGTTCAAATCCAGGCATCTGGAGGGCCAGGGGAGACCATCAACGTTGTTGTTGTGTTGACAGGCTCTTGTATGCATCGAGAGTTGTGCTGCTGGAATACACCATTGCCGTTGGTTGCAATTGGGAGAACGTTTGGTTGTAGAATTTAATTGATGTATCGTTGAGCCGTCAGACTGCCCTGGATATGAACCAAATCTGTCCTGCCATAACGAGAGATAGCCGCCCACGTCATAACGCTTCCTGTAACGTTCCCCCCGACGTCTGTAAACCCCTGCTCCCCTACTCTTCCATCCCCTCGCGATCGGCGGAGGAAAAATCTTGATTCATCGCTGAACCAGACATCACTCCATCGCAGTTGAGGCAATACCTTTTGTTGACGACACCAATGCAGTCGTTGTTGACGATGTTGTCGACTCAATATGACGCGTCGATGTGACGTCTTTGTCGTAGACCTGCTGCTTCTATTTCGTACGGTCTGGTCGGAGATTCTGAGCAGTCCGCGTATTTGGGATGCGGTTGAGGTGCCTGTGGTCTTCCTTTCACGTAGGTGGCGCAGTCGGATGTAGCGATGTTGGGCGGGGATGATTACTCTTGGTCGGCCTGACCTTAGCCGGTCACCTGTGACCCATGCTGTTGAAACCGATCCCATAGCCTCGTGATGGTGCTGGGCGCTACATTGAAAACCCTGGCTACAGCTGATCGGGATTCCCCTGCCCGCAAGCGGCCTATGACGATGTTTCTTTGCACATATGTTAACCTTGGCATGTTGTTGAACTGTCACTGTTCGATTGACGAAGATGCCAGGAAATCAAAAACCCCTGCACTTTAATACCGTTCATAGTGCTGCTGCACGTGCAATACGTGCAGCTCCATGGCCGTTTTCTTTATGCACTAGGTGGGTTTTTCCGAATCGTACGTGTTTCCCGACTAATGGTTTGCATGTCCTTGTTGTTATCATTTTGATCCGGGAAATTTGTCCCTCACACCATAACACATTAAACCTCTTCATTTTGCACCTCTTGGTCCACTAATTTTGCTTTTATGGCCACAAATTTCCGTTTTGTGTTTCCTTTTTTGACGAGTATACATAAGATAATTTAAGATAACTCCTCACGTACTAGACACATACTACATAATTATGTAACCAATAACTAATAATCATACATGATCTTTGATATTTATGAAGAACGTAATGATAAGCTTTACTTTAATACAACCTTACTGGATACAACTTAAACCGATTAATACAAATACACAATATTAATATAAAATTTCAGTCTGTAAGTTCAATAATATGGCCACATCTTTTATATTTAATCTACCGTTAATTACCCAAAATCTAATGCCAAACGGCATGCCATTGAATCTGTACAATGTATACATATAACTGTTGTTTGTAGACAATGGTATTTTTTATAAATGATTCTAAACGCACCAAATGGTCAATGTTACTTCTGGGTTTTTTCTGAAACCACACTGGATGATCTGATTGACGGACAATTGGGGAAAGTTCAACTGTTCAAAGTAACACGTACAGTAGCAGCCTGAAGAGAAGTGTTAAGTAGAACATGGCTATGGATTATGCCCTGCTTCAGGATAGAAGAACCTCCTCTAGCTTTATCACCAGGAGGGGAAAACGAGTGGTAAGAACTGTACTGACGGATATCAACTTGATCTGTGTTTTTTAAATATGTTTCTTAGAGACAAAACGCTGACGGTTTAAATCCTTGAATGAAAAGTTGTATTTCATTAAAATTCTTCTTCAGACTTCTGTAATTCCATTGTATAATGTGTTGTGGATTTATGGTGGTGGTGCTTCCACTGGTGAGATGTCACGGGAACGTGGGGCCGACTTGTAGTACTCCTAGTTGTGTGGTGTGGAGATAGAGTTACCTCCATGTCCGGAGGATCACAGAAGCTATGGACCTCTATAGCAGTCAAGGATGTGTCCGAGACTGACCACCCTGTCCCGTTAGTCACCTTCCATAACAAGCTTCTGTTACTGCGGACCCAATTCACCCCGGGATTCCACAGACTGGCAAGGAACTGTTCCAGCAAGTTCATATCGGGTGTTGTCGGGAAAGCTTCTGAAGTAACACATATGTGTGAAACACTTTATCACTGACCGTCTCCCAAACAATGTGTTTCCGCACTCAGTACATCAGAAATGTACTAAAGAAATATATAATATGTATTATCGTGAAATAAATCACGCTTCGTTCTTTATTGTTCTTGATCATTTATCGCGTAGCTATCTTTATTTTGAATAACATACATCAAGTCATGCATAAGGAATGTAACACCCCATGAGACAGCAGAACGTTTGTGTTTTCGATGACTGTCAAATACGTCAGCAAACAACGCAAGGATAAATGTTCATTCACATCCCACCATGGACACTGTTTAAAGGGGGAGAACTCTTCACGGCTTAACCTGTGCGAGCAGCATTGCACCCCCGTCCAGGCTTGCCGCCATCACAGACAACATGACTCCACTTGGAAGCCACAAACTATCCATACCCTCGTGACGCAGTGAAGCGCGAACGCTGGGTGGTAACGAAGAGATTGTGTGAAAAGGCATAGCGTGAGTCCGGTGTTAAGAGTGGAATGCCTCTCTGTATGAACGTAACACCCGTGTAACGCTGTCTCTGCTAACAGTAAATATCAATAGTAATACTATATCCATACCACAGGGACATGCTCAAAGCGCTACACTATTGTGGCCCCGGTCAACGGATCAGTGTGCACTCAACCATCATTCTCAGCTCCCTAGGGAGTATGCTGGATTGCCATCCCATCCTACCGGGTACCCAGTCACTGCTTGGTGAACAGAGCAACATTTCGAACAAAGTCTCGTCCCCAAGGAGACGACACATGTGTTGCAACTAACGGGGTCGGGTGGTTAGACTCGCTGACTTGGTTGATGCATTTCATCGTATCCCAGTTGCGTTGATCGATGCTCATGCTCTCAATCATTTGATTGTCTGCTCCAGGCTCGATAATTAACAGACCGCCGCCATATAGCTGGAATATTGCTGAACGCGGCGTTAAACAACAAACAAACAAAAACATGAGTTGCCTTTGTGTCAGTGTGTGGTAGTACCAAGGCCCCATTACTCTCAGGAGCCAAGCTGCCCAACACGCCCACCTGCCCAAGACCTCCGTGGTCTAGTGGATAGAGCCTCTGCCCGGACAGAGAAAAGGTCGTGGGTTCGATCCCCGGCCGCGTCATACCACAAACACGATAAACGATGGACCTTGTTGTTACTCTGCCTGGCGCTCGGCATTAAGGGGCTAAAAAACATCTTTCTCATTGCTCTGCAGCAGCTTAATAAACGCGTCCTTGGCTGGAATTTCAAGAAGATGGCGTAATATGGTTCTTTCTGAGCCGGCTGTAATGTTGACAATAAAGTAAACACTGTTCCATAGCTATAACTAATCACATCTGGTTTGGAAACTGGTTGATGTTAATATGTAAAGGATTATTACCTGTTTGTTACTGATTTCAGGGCACCAAACTTCGATATGTCTCTTCATATCGAACGTTTTGTCCATCACAACCGCTGATGAATATTACTGATTTTGATATAGTCGACCATGAGTCGACCATAACAACTTGATATATTTGTAGCGCACGGCAAACTCTGTGACACTTGTAGAGAACACACACTGGCTTCACTACAGTCGACCCTGAGTCGACCATAACAACTTGATATGTTTGTAGCGCACGGCAAACACTGTGACACTTGTAGAGAACACACACTGGCTTCAGTACAATCGACCATGAGTCGACCATAACAACTTGATATGTTTGTAGCGCACGGCAAACACTGTGACACTTGTAGAGAACACACACTGGCTTCAGTACAGTCGACCCTGAGTCGACCATAACAACTTGATATGTTTGTAGCGCACGGCAAACACTGTGACACTTGTAGAGAGCACACACTGGCTTCAGTACAGTCGACCCTGAGTCGACCATAACAACTTGATATGTGTGTAGCGCATGGCAAACACTGTGACACTTGTAGAGAACACACACTGGCTTCAGTACAGTCGACCCTGAGTCGACCATAACAACTTGATATGTGTGTAGCGCACGGCAAACACTGTGACACTTGTAGAGAACACACACTGGCTTCAGTACAATCCACTCTGAGTCGACCATAACAACTTGATATGTGTGTAGCGCATGGCAAACTCTGTGACACTTGTAGAGAGCACACACTGGCTTCAGTACAATCGACCGAGTTACATCCATAAACTGAATGTTTAAAACTTGTCTGTTCTCAAATTTTGTACACAAAGCCCTGTAGCCTATATGTATAGAAATAAAATGATGATGATGTTCATCACAATCGCCGATGAATATTAAGGAGTGAGTGAGTATGATTTTAAGGCAATTTTAGCAATTTTCCAGCAATATCATGGCGGGGACACTTTAAAAGGGGTTCACACATTGTACCCATTTCGAGAATCAATCCGGGTTCTCTGGGTGACGAGCGAACCTATAACCACTGGGCTACCCTACCACCTTCAGTGAATTTAAACAAGTCTACCCAGAGTTATACTTGATATGTTTGTAGCGCATGGCATACACGGTGGCACTTGTAGAGAATACACACTGGCTTGAGTACAATCGACCCTAAGTTACATCCAACTTAGATGGGGATCATATGTGTTGATGATGAGCATCGCTAAAGGTCTTCATCCACACAAGAGGATCAAATTGACTTCGTTGTATTAGTCCCTTCGGGACATCCGACTTCGATACACCCGGGGACACAGGTGTTCCTGTCTTCTAAGGCGACATGGAGAGTTGCGTCCCATTTGTCATCAGAAAGCTTGGATCTTGTGTTCAAATCTTATATTCTCCATGACTATGTTTCTAGGTTTGATAGCACATGGGTATCATTAAAGTGGTAAACGTTTAGTCGTTTCCTCCCGTCTCCAGCTGGCACGCCTTGATATAACTGAAATAATGTTCAAAGCGGCGTTGAACCCATCTCACTCACTCACTCAATGCATTTATGCTCATTCCACATGTCATCTCGGAAAGGTGCACTAGGAATGGGGGCGTGGCCTGTGCTGGGAGGCTGGATGACGAGAGTGATTCCGTCAGCCTGATGGGCGTGGTCCTTCCCGTCTGTCAGACTCTGTAACTCTGGGATGTCGGACTTCTCCTCCGCCAGGTCCGAGTGCGTCTTCTTCAGCAGCATAATCATCAGGCCACACATGGACGACACAAAAAACGTTGAACCTTTAACGTAAATAACGATTTTTGTATCAAGGTATTTTACAGACTTCAGTCAGTCTTATTTTCATAAAGGGGTAACACGGAGGTTTAAGTGTTCTCTAGTTACGTGTTGGCATGATAAGTACCATGAAAACTTGGAGGATTAGTTGGGGGAGTGGGAAGGGGGGTGGGGGTGTGGGTTGGTGTGGGTGGGTGTATCTCTATAGACTGTAAAAGATAAGTCAATACAACCTTTTTAATATTGAGTCGATATTGATATCTTACCAACTTTTAAGGGTATTCAACCAGGTACAACTCCTGTGCATTCCAATTTCGTTAATACGATTTCAGGTTTTAGGAAAACTAAACCCATAGATGTGCCAGAGGAAAACAGTTAATTATTTTTCAAAGACCGGACTTTTTGCAGGTTTGTCTTTGTGAACGATGACGATGTTGACATCATTGGTATACTAACAGCCAGGACATTCCATACACTCTCACTTCATGTGCTGGAGTGAGTGAGTATGGTTTTACGCCGCTGGAGACAGGAATGGGCTTCACACATTGTCGGGAATCGAACCCGGGACTGCGCCGTTACGAGCGAACGCTTTAACCACTAGGCTACCCCACACCCCCCTCATGTGCTGGAGGTGTGGAGACTACGGGTAGGAGAGCAACTGATCTCATCCTCCGATCATTAGACGGAAGTTGGAATTACTCTTTTTGATGTAATCACATCCCAGATGTGGGAGAAGAAAGTCCTACCCCCGATGTCGCCAGACATCACTGTCACGTGACGGATATCGTAGACTACTGACCGGACCGGGAACAGAATGCATCGATCCCTTGGGTTGCACCCCTCTGTTTTCTATCTCCTAGAATGACTTTACCTGACAATAGATCTCAAGCTTTGAAGCGAGCCCAGATACTTCATGATAGCCTTTGGAAGAATCCAGAAAATTCATGCAGAAACTGTTAGATAACAATCATGCGTAAATAAGTCTGCCTGTGAGAAGTGGTGAGGAGTGCTGGTTTATGCCAACATCTGGAGTATGCCACCTTTAAGATGGCATACTCCAAATATGGACAGAAGGCAGCACTTCCAAAAAAAATCTGTGTTATTTCGGTAATATGTTATTTAGATATTAGCTGACCTCTTGTTTGTAGAGCATACAGAATATATTGGTTCATTTTTCTCTTAATGTTATCTTACCAACTTTATTAGTATTGTGATAAGTGTAATTGTGGTATCTTTTTGGTTTTCAGTCTTTTACCCTTAAAGGAACCTTCAGAATATATTCTTGGCTTGAAGCATGCCTTGTCTGTGTGTCAAAGTAATCCAGAGTCAGCCGTGAATAACGGTGCAATGTGTGTACATGTAGATTACCTGATCACCTTTAAAACGTCAGTATACATTTTTAGTTTGCATCAAAGAAAAGCGGTGGTGTTTTTTTTATAAAATGTTTTAGTTTGTCCATGCATAAAACTAGTAAACCCTTATCACATCACAGGGAAATATACTTGCTGCTCCGTACAATGCCTACAGAAGGTGGATATTTGTTGTACAATGTTGGAGTGTATCAAACAGTAAACCGTTGTCACATCACAGGGAAATATACCTGCTACTCCGTACTATACCTACAGTAGGTGGATATTTGTTGTACAATGTTGTAGTGTATCAAACAGTAAACCCTGGTCACATCACAGGGAAATATACTTGTTGTACAATATTGGAGTGTATCAAACAGTAAACCCTTGTCCCATCCCAGGGAAATATACTTGTTGTACAATATTGGAGTGTATCAAACAGTAAACCCTTGTCACATCACAGGGAAATATACTTGTTGTACAATATTGGAGTGTATCAAAGAGTAAACCCTTGTCACATCACAGGGAAATATACTTGTTGTACAATGTTGGAGTGTATCAAACAGTAAACCCATGTCACATCACAGGGAAATATACTTGTTGTACAATATTGGAGTGTATCAAACAGTAAACCCTTATCACATCACAGGGAAATATACTTGTTGTACAATATTGGAGTGTATCAAAGAGTAAACCCATGTCACATCACAGGGAAATATACTTGCTGCTCCGTACAATGCCTACAGAAGGTGGATATTTGTTGTACAATGTTGGAGTGTATCAAACAGTAAACCCATGTCACATCACAGGGAAATACACTTGCTGCTCCGTACAATACCTACAGAAGGTGGATATTTGTTTACAATGTTGGAGTGTATCAAACAGTAAACCCATGTCACATCACAGGGAAATATACTTGATGCTCCGTACAATGCCTACAGAAGGTGGATATTTGTTGTACAATGTTGGAGTGTATCAAACAGTAAACCCATGTCACATCACAGGGAAATATACTTGTTGTACAATATTGGAGTGTATCAAACAGAACACCTTGTCACATCACAGGGAAATATACCTGCTACTCCGTACTATACCTACAGTAGGTGGATATTTGTTTACAATGTTGTAGTGTATCAAACAGTAAACCCTGGTCCGCCCAAACAAAAGGTAATAGAAAGGTTTCCTGGTCAAACAAAGTGAAATACGGATTACACCCGTGAAGAACCACGTTACATCGCCCAAAACTATACAGTTATCAGCACTTACCAGCAAAGTAAAAGGCTTCTTGATATGTCCCGTGTTCTGCAGCGATGATACCTGTATAAAAAATATATATTGTGTTTGCTGTTTTACACTGCAATTACCATATTCCAGATCCCAGTTCCACAAAGCGATCGTGATGCTAAGATAGTATAATGTCCACGTTTAAATATGAGAGGTACGACCACCTCAGCTTTGTGGAACGGGGCCCTGAAGTATCAATAATCCAGTCTGGACCTGGGGTAGAATGTGTCACCAGCACCCCATTGCTGGGCAGCCCTGTGGGGACCCGGGCTAGAACGTGTCCCCAGCACCCCATTGCTCCTAATATCAGTCACTGGTTGGCAGGATCAGACTGATACCACCTTCTTGTAGTTGGAATATTGCCGAGAGTGACGTTATAAAAATAAACAAAAAAACATAGCATAGTCTTCAAACCAGGCTGGACCAGACAAAGTATTGGATAATAAAGGAATTACAACTGAGGTTGCACTTAAACATTGCACCCATAAGGATCCCACACCGGGCCGACAATCCTGACCTCTCCTCCACTTTCATGATATAAACAATTACTCCGGGTAAGAATGAGGTAAGGTTCCCCACCAATCAAACACATAGTAAATACGAGGCTGTGGAATTGTCATAGACAACTGGATGGCTGGACCTGTCTCTATTATTACAGACCACTGTCATACAGTTGACAGAATGCTGAACGTGGCGTTAACAACCAAGGATCCGCGGCCGACATCCCCTTTGATAAGATTAACTATTTCTATATAACCCCCATGTCATATTCGTGGGGATTCCGAGTAAGCATTTGGGTTCCCAGAAAGTATATCCCAATTGCTTTGATGTCAATCACTGGATTGTCAGGATTATTTACTGCCCGCCATAACCTTGAACATTGCTAAGTGCGGTGTAAAACAACAAACACACAATCTTAATTACGAGACTGCAGAGTATCAATAGAAAACACTTACTTGCTACTGGAGGCCCAACCAAGATACCTATTCCTGAGGCTAACATCACAATCCCGTAGGCAGAGGCGAGGTTCCTGACCCCCACAATGTGCAGAGTGAGGGGGTTGACCAGCACCCAGCCAACTGAGGCATACAAGCCGAACATAAAAGCATACGCTACTTTTCCAACTATTGTCTTCGTCATTGGCGTTATAAAAAAGTCTATGGTAGCGATGACACCATATGTTCCTGAGAATAGAACAGAAGGTCCTATATTTGGATCGTTGGCAGCGAACCCCCCAAGGAGTCTGGACAGGGCTCCCCCTATTCCAACGACGGAGATGAGGAAGGAAGCTTGTTGAGGAGACGAGCCTTGTTTGATGAAGATGTCGGGGAGGAAGAGGTAGGAGATGAAGTTGCCCACACTGAAGGAAAACGTTGCCAACAGCAGCAGGAGAAACGCTGGATGGAACATCTCCCCAAAACGGCCACATTGTCCGCACAAAGAAGTAAGGATTTGTTGACAGAGGGTTTTCCCCGACTTGGCACTGACTGCTAACGCCGTCTCAAGGTCAGAGGGTCTCATCAGGGCCCCGAACACTGCTGCATGGAACGCTATTGCTCCCAAGAAGAGGAAGCATCCTTCAAGTCCATAAATGTCCACCAGATACTGAGTCAGGGGTGGCAGGAAGAAGGTGCCCATTCCAACCCCCGCCATTCCAACGCCAGTTACTAAACTCACCTGTAACACAATAGAACAAGAGATTATTGGCGGATAATGTTTTCGTCAATGTCACATATTAGGAGTAACATTTGCATTAAAATAGCCTTTGTCGAGAGAAGTGGCCATACCAATTCCGAGTCCTGTGATGGGATTCGAACCACAGACATTCTGATCCGAGGTCGGGCATTACGCCGTCGGCACAAGCACAATAAAAATACACATCTGTGGGGTGATGCCACGCCCTGCTATACAAGCACAATACACATCTGCGGGGTGATGCCACGTCCTGCTATACAAGCAGAATACTCATCTGCGGGGTGATGCCACGCCCTGCTATACAAGCACAATACACATCTGCGGGGTGATGCCACGCCCTGCTATACAAGCACAATACACATCTGTGGGGTGATGCCACGCCCTGCTATACAAGCACAATACACATCTGTGGGGTGATGCCACGCCCTGCTATACAAGCACAATACACATCTGCGGGGTGATGCCACGCCCTGCTATACAAGCACAATACACATCTGTGGGGTGATGCCACGCCCTGCTATACAAGCACAATACACATCTGCGGGGTGATGCCACGCCCTGCTATACAAGCACAATACACATCTGTGGGGTGATGCCACGCCCTGCTATACAAGCACAATACACATCTGCGGGGTGATGCCACGCCCTGCTATACAAGCACAATACACATCTGTGGGGTGATGCCACGCCCTGCTATACAAGCACAATACACATCTGCGGGGTGATGCCACGCCCTGCTATACAAGCACAATACACATCTGTGGGGTGATGCCACGCCCTGCTATACAAGCACAATACACATCTGCGGGGTGATGCCACGCCCTGCTATACAAGCACAATACACATCTGCGGGGTGATGCCACGCCCTGCTATACAAGCACAATACACATCTGTGGGGTGATGCCACGCCCTGCTATACAAGCACAATACACATCTGTGGGGTGATGCCACGCCCTGCTATACAAGCACAATACACATCTGCGGGGTGATGCCACGCCCTGCTATACAAGCACAATACACATCTGTGGGGTGATGCCACGCCCTGCTATACAAGCACAATACACATCTGCGGGGTGATGCCACGCCCTGCTATACAAGCACAATACACATCTGCGGGGTGATGCCACGCCCTGCTATACAAGCACAATACACATCTGTGGGGTGATGCCACGCCCTGCTATACAAGCACAATACACATCTGTGGGGTGATGCCACGCCCTGCTATACAAGCACAATACACATCTGTGGGGTGATGCCACGCCCTGCTATACAAGCACAATACACATCTGTGGGGTGATGCCACGCCCTGCTATACAAGCACAATACACATCTGTGGGGTGATGCCACGCCCTGCTATACAAGCAGAATACACATCTGTGGGGTGATGCCACGTCCTGCTATACAAGCACAATACACATCTGCGGGGTGATGCCACGCCCTGCTATACAAGCACAATACACATCTGCGGGGTGATGCCACGCCCTGCTATACAAGCACAATACACATCTGTGGGGTGATGCCACGCCCTGCTATACAAGCACAATACACATCTGCGGGGTGATGCCACGCCCTGCTATACAAGCACAATACACATCTGTGGGGTGATGCCACGCCCTGCTATACAAGCACAATACACATCTGTGGGGTGATGCCACGCCCTGCTATACAAGCACAATACACATCTGCGGGGTGATGCCACGCCCTGCTATACAAGCACAATACACATCTGTGGGGTGATGCCACGCCCTGCTATACAAGCACAATACACATCTGTGGGGTGATGCCACGCCCTGCTATACAAGCACAATACACATCTGTGGGGTGATGCCACGCCCTGCTATACAAGCACAATACACATCTGCGGGGTGATGCCACGCCCTGCTATACAAGCACAATACACATTTGTTTATTCTTGATATATAGACCTGTAAAATGCTCCTTGTAAAGTTACTGCCACGCAACAGCGAATTTAGTTGGTAAAATCACTTTGGTAATGACACGAATAGATATCCATACCTAAGATGTGAATGTTTGGTAGAGGTTCTGCCGCGTGATGCACGTGCAGCAAACCACACGCGTTAATATTGTTCATAATGTTCTTCGCACCTGTGTGGTATGATGACGTCATTGTGTGTTATCTTCTCACCTGGCACACTATTGAACTATAGACCACATCATGTACAGTACATTAATTCATACCTCAGTGTTAAACAAGGTATATTTGTTTATTTTAACTGATGGATAACGTGCGTATCATCACCAGAAGCTGAGGCAGGCTGACCAGTGTATGCAGGATTCCATGACGGAGTTGATCACTGCTGACTAGTGTATGCAAGATTCCATGAGAGAGTAGATCACTACTGACTAGTGTATGCAAGATTCCATGACAGAGTAGATAAATACTGACTTGTGTATGCAAGATACCATGACAGAGTAGATCACTACTGACCAGTGTATGCAAGATTCCATGACAGAGTAGGTCACTACTGACTTGTGTATGCAAGATTCCATGACAGAGTAGGTCACTACTGACCAGTGTATGCAAGATTCCATGACAGAGTAGGTCACTACTGACTAGTGTATGCAAGATTCCATGACAGAGTAGGTCACTACTGACCAGTGTATGCAAGATTCCATGACAGAGTAGGTCACTACTGACTAGTGTATGCAAGATTCCATGACAGAGTAGGTCACTACTGACCAGAACATACAAGATTCCATGACTCAGTTGAACACTACTTATCAGCGCATGCAAGATTCCATGAGGGAGAAGGTCACTACTGACCAGTGTATGCAAGATTCCATGACAGAGAAGATCACTACTGACCAGTGTATGCAATATTCCATGACCGAGTAGATCACTACTGACTTGTGTATGCAAGATTCCATGACAGAGTAGATCAATACTGACTTGTGTATGCAAGATACCATGACAGAGAAGGTCACTACAGACCAGTGTATGCAAGATTCCACGAGGGAGTAGGTCACTACTGACCAGTTTAAGCAAGATTCCATGACAGAGTAGGTCACTACTGACTAGTGTATGCAAGATTCCATGACAGAGTAGGTCACTACTGACCAGTGTATGCAAGATTCCATGACAGAGTAGATCACTACTGACTAGTGTATGCAAGATACCATGACAGAGTAGATCACTACTGACTAGTGTATGCAAGATTCCATGACAGAGTAGGTCACTACTGACTAGTGTATGCAAGATTCCATGACAGAGTAGGTCACTACTGACCAGTGTATGCAAGATTCCATGACAGAGTAGATCACAACTGACTAGTGTATGCAAGATTCCATGACAGAGTAGGTCACTACTGACTAGTGTATGCAAGATTCCATGACAGAGTAGGTCACTACTGACCAGAACATACAAGATTCCATGACTCAGTTGAACACTACTTATTAGCGCATGCAAGATTCCATGAGGGAGAAGGTCACTACTGACCAGTGTATGCAAGATTCCATGACAGAGAAGATCACTACTGACCAGTGTATGCAATATTCCATGACCGAGTAGATCACTACTGACTTGTGTATGCAAGAATCCATGACAGAGTAGATCACTACTGACTAGTGTATGCAAGATTCCATGACAGAGTAGATCAATACTGACTTGTGTATGCAAGATACCATGACAGAGAAGGTCACTACAGACCAGTGTAAGCAAGATTCCATGACAGAGTAGGTCACTACTGACTTGTGTAAGCAAGATTCCACGAGGGAGTAGGTCACTACTGACCAGTTTAAGCAAGATTCCATGACAGAGTAGATCACTACTGACTAGTGTATGCAAGATTCCATGACAGAGTAGATCACAACTGACTAGTGTATGTAAGATACCATGACAGAGTAGGTCACTACTGACCAGTGTAAGCAAGATTCCATGACAGAGAAGATCACTAATGACCAGAATATGCAGGATTCCATGACGGAGTTGATCACTACTGACTAGTGTATGCAATAATCCATGACCGAGTAGATCACTACTGACTAGTGTATGCAAGATTCCATGACAGAGTAGATCAATACTGACTTGTGATATGCAAGATACCATGGCAAAGAAGGTCACTACTGATCAGTGTAAGCAGGATTCCATGAGAGAGTAGATCACTACTGACTAGTGTATGCAAGATTCCATGAGGGAGTAGGTCACTACTGACTAGTGTATGCAAGATACCATGACAGAGTAGGTCACTACTGACCAGAACATACAAGATTCCATGACTCAGTTGAACACTACTTATTAGCGCATGCAAGATTCCATGACGGAGTTGATCACTACTGACCAGTGTATGCAAGATTCCATGACAGAGCAGGTCAATACTGACCAGTGTATGCAAGATTCCACGAGGGAGCAGGTCAATACTGACTAGTGTATCTAAGATACCATGACACAGTAAGTCACTAGTCACCAGTGTAAATAAGATTCCATGACAGAGTAGATCACTACTGACCAGTGTATGCAAGATTCCATGAGGGAGTTGGTCACTACTGACTAGTGTATGAAAGATTCCATGAGGGAGTAGGTCACTACTGACTAGTGTATGCAAGATACCATGACAGAGTAGGTCACTACTGACCAGAACATACAAGATTCCATGACTCAGTTGAACACTACTTATTAGCGCATGCAAGATTCCATGAGGGAGTTGATCACTACTGACCAGTGTATGCAATATTCCATGACAGAGTAGATCACTAATGACCAGAATATGCAGGATTCCATGACGGAGTTGATCACTACTGACCAGTGTATGCAAGATTCCATGACAGAGCAGGTCAATACTGACCAGTGTATGCAAGATTCCACGAGGGAGCAGGTCAATACTGACTAGTGTATCTAAGATACCATGACACAGTAAGTCACTAGTCACCAGTGTAAACAAGATTCCATGACAGAGTAGATCACTACTGACCAGTGTATGCAAGATTCCATGACAGAGAAGATCACTAATGACCAGAATATGCAGGATTCCATGACGGAGTTGATCACTACTGACCAGTGTATGCAAGATTCCATGACAGAGCAGGTCAATACTGACCAGTGTATGCAAGATTCCACGAGGGAGCAGGTCAATACTGACTAGTGTATCTAAGATACCATGACACAGTAAGTCACTAGTCACCAGTGTAAACAAGATTCCATGACAGAGTAGATCACTACTGACCAGTGTATGCAAGATTCCATGAGGGAGTTGGTCACTACTGACCAGTGTATGCAAGATTCCATGAGGGAGTAGGTCACTACTGAACAGTGTAAGCAAGATTGCATGACGGAGTACATGTAGGTCTCTTCTGACCAGTGTATCGAGATTCAATGACGGAGTAGGTCACTACTGACCAGTGTATTCAAGATTCCATGACGGAGTAGGTCACCACTGACCAGAGCATACAAGATTCCATGACTCAGTTGAACACTACTTATTAGCGCATGAAAGATTCCATAAGGGAGAAGGTCACTACTGACAAGTGAATGCAAGATTCCATGAGGGAGTAGGTTACTACAGACCAGTGCATGCAAGATTCCATGTCGGAGTTGATCACTACTGACCAGTGTATGCAAGATACCATGACAAAGTAGATCAATACTGACCAGTGTATACAAGATTCCATGACAGAGCAGGTCAATACTGACCAGTGCATGCAAGATTCCATGAGGGAGTAGGTCACTACTAACCGGTGCTTGCAGAATTCCGTGACAGAGTAGGCCACGTCTGACTAGTGTATGCAATATGCCATGACAGAGTAGATTTATACTGACCAGTGTATGCAAGATTCCATGACAGAATGGGTTTCTACTGACCAGTGTATGCAAGATTCCATGACAGGGTAGATCAATACTGACCAGTGCATGCAAGATTCCATGACAGAAGGGGTCTCTACTGACCAGTGAATGCAAGATTCCATGACAAAGTAGATCAATACTGACCAGTGTATGCAAGATTCCATGACAGGGTAGATCAATATTGACCAGTGTATGCAAGATTCCATGACAGGGTAGATCAATACTGACCAGTGTATTCAAGATTCCATGACAAAGTAGATCAATACTGACCAGTGTATTCCAGATTCCATGACAAAGTAGATCAATACTGACCAGTGTATGCAAGATTCCATGACAGGGTAGATCAATACTGACCAGTGTAAGCTGGATTCCACGACAAAGTAGATCAATACTGACCAGTGTATGCAAGATCCCATGACAGAGTAGATCAATACTGACCAGTGTATTCCAGATTCCATGACAAAGTAGATCAATACTGACCAGTGTATGCAAGATTCCATGACAGGGTAGATCAATACTGACCAGTGTAAGCTGGATTCCACGACAAAGTAGATCAATTCTGACCAGTGTATGCAAGATCCCATGACAGAGTAGATCAATACTGACCAGTGTATGCAAGATTCCATGACAGGGTAGATCAATACTGACAAGTGTATGCAAGATTCCATGACAGGGTAGATCAATACTGACTAGTGCATGCAAGATTCCATGACAGAAGGGGTCTCTACTGACCAGTGAATGCAAGATTCCATGACAAAGTAGATCAATACTGACCAGTGTATGCAAGATTCCATTACAGGGTAGATCAATACTGACCAGTGTATGCAAGATTCCATGACAAAGTAGATCAATACTGACCAGTGTATGCAAGATTCCATGACAGGGTAGATTAATACTGACCAGTGTATGCAAGATTCCATGACAAAGTAGATCAATACTGACCAGTGTATGCAAGATTCCATAACAGAAGGGGTCTCTACTGACCAGTGTATGCAAGATTCCATGACAGGGTAGATCAATACTGACCAGTGAATGCAGGATTCCATGACAGAAGGGGTCTCTACTGACCAGTGTATGCAAGATTCCATAACAGAAGGGGTCTCTACTGACCAGTGTATGCAAGATTCCATGACAGGGTAGATCAATACTGACCAGTGAATGCAGGATTCCATGACAGAAGGGGTCTCTACTGACCAGTGTATGCAAGATTCCATAACAGAAGGGGTCTCTACTGACCAGTGTATGCAAGATTCCATGACAGGATAGATCAATACTGACCAGTGTATTCAAGATTCCATGACGGAGTAGGTCACTACTGACCAGTGTAAGCAAGATTCCATGACAGAGTAGGTCACAACTGATCAGTGTAAGCAAGATTCAATGACGGAGTAGATCAATACTGACCAGTGTATTCAAGATTCCATGACAGGGTAGATCAATACTGACCAGTGTATTCAAGATTTCATGACCGGGTAGGTCTCTACTGACCAGTGTATTCAAGATTCCATGACAGGGTAGATCAATACTGACCAGTGTATTCAAGATTTCATGACCGGGTAGGTCTCTACTGACCAGTGCATGCAAGATTCCATGACAGAGTTGATCAATACTGACCAGTGTATGCAAGATTCCATGACAGAGTGGATCAATACTGACTAGCGTATGCAAGATTCAATGAGGTCGCTACTGACCAATGTATGCAGGATTCCATTACAGAATATGTCACCAGTGTATGCACGATTCCATGACAGAGTATATCACTACTGACGAGCGTATGCAAGATTCCATGACAGAATAGGTCACTACTGACCAGTGTATGCAGGATTCCATTAACCGAGTAGGTCACCACTCGTGAAGATCGTTTGTCGCCTCTTTCGGCAAGCATGGGTTGCTGAAGACTAATTTTGAAACGGATCTTTACGGGTCCTGCACGTGCCGACTGATAGGGATGGTTGCAGTGTGTGAGGGGGCTGATTGGTGCCATCGTCACCCGACGGCGTGGATCGTCCCATAGGGTTTACTGCAACGGTGTTTGCCTGGCCCGGACTTGATCAGTTACAGATGTACGTGAAATTATGGTGGCCGAGAGGGGACATCGCTCCATCGCTTTCTCGCTTTATCGCTCTATCGCTTTCTCGCTTTATCGCTCTATCGCTTTTCTCGCGGTTAAGCAATATCCCCTCTTGACCATTATAGGGGCCGCATGTGATATCTGCTGCAATTTGGAGGTAATGTTGAACTTTTCTCACTATTTACTTAAAACATAATTTAACTGTAGAGACGTAGGTGATTTTAAAACAATCCACAGATTTTTGCGTAAAATGTAATTGATTTATTTATGGCCCTATTCAGTTGTATGTGACCATCACGCAGAAAGCGCGTGGCAGATCATGGCAATACGTTCTTAATAAATCAGGTCAAAATCTAAATATATACTTTTCAAAAGAAGTTAAGAAGACTATGGTTAATTAGTCATGGCTAATTGTTTTGCAAAAATACAATCTTTTAATTGTGGGCGTTCTATAACTTGTTTCGGTAGTATATGATGTTACAGTGTGTCACAAGGTTGTCCGTAAATGTTCTTTTTGACATTTGATGTATGTTTAACTTGAATTGTGCTTCTTGTCTTGTGAAAATCTACAAATATATGTACTTGCATATAGTAATAAACACCGCTGTGAGTGAGTGAGTGAGTGAGAATGGTTTCACGTCGCTTTTAACAATAATCCAGTAATATCACGGGGAACACCAGAAATGGGCTTCATACATTATACCCATCTGCGGAATCGAACTGGGTCTTCGGCTTGACGATCGAACGCTTTAATTTTTAAATATAACCACTAGGTCGTCCCACTGCCCCCATCGCTGTGGCGTTACCACAGTTGATATGTGTACTTGTGTAAACTACACATATGGAGAGACATTATAATTAGTGTGGCCACATAGTTAAGGTTGATAACAATTTGAAAAAAAATAAAATATGAAATGCATTACTATGATTATCTATAACATATATTTAATCAGCTATCATTGTAATATGTTATGTATATGTTAAGTAAAGTTTTGTCAAAATTATGTATGTGTGTGTGTGTGTGTGTGTGTGTGTGTCAGAACGCACAATTGTAAACCATACAGAATAAATGGATAGAGAATTGCTACATAAATATGTATATTCCTGCCTGAGCCTATACTATAATTGGATATCTAGTCTGTCATGGCGGGAAAGTTAAACTTTATTTTACAAGCACTTTAGCATTAAATTTAATTCCCGAAGACAGTTTGATCGAAAGGTACTATGAACAAAATGAAAATATGAACAGTGACTATCTGTATTCTGTGAATCTTGCTTATTTATTACACTACAAGAAACTATACAAGCTAAACGAGAAAACACTATGTGTTTATTTTGTAACATATTTATCTACTACAAGATGTTTAAAGAATCTAATCATAAGAGGCAAAATAGCGGTGAGAATTACAGGAATGGATCACTAAATATCAGCAAAAACCGTTTTAATGTACGGCATTATGGGAAGTATCGCATTTTCGCTCACTCACTCACTCACCTGATCTCGGAAGTAGAAGCCCAGAATGACGATGGAGCCGGTGTAGACCAAACCCTCACCTAAACCTGGAACATAGACAACACGGTCCCTCATTTATCAGACCAAACCTTCCCCTAATCCTGGAACAAAGACAACACGGTCCCTCATTTATCAGACCAAACCCTCACCTAAACCTGGAACATAGACAACACGGTCCCTCATTTATCAGACCAAACCTTCCCCTAATCCTGGAACATAGACAACACGGTCCCTCATTTATCAGACCAAACCTTCCCCTAAACCTGGAATATAGACAACACGGTCCCTCATTTATCAGACCAAACCTTCCCCTAAACCTGGAATATAGACAACACGGTCCCTCATTTATCAGACCAAACCTTCCCCTAAACCTGGAATATAGACAACACGGTCCCTCATTTATCAGACCAAACCTTCCCCTAAACCTGGAATATAGACAACACGGTCCCTCATTTATCAGACCAAACCTTCCCCTAAACCTGGAACATAGACAACACGGTCCCTCATTTATCAGACCAAACCTTCCCCTAAACCTGGAACATAGACAACACGGTCCCTCATTTATCAGACCAAACCTTCCCCTAAACCTGGAACATAGACAACACGGTCCCTCATTTATCAGACGCCACATGGGGGATTCCGGACAAGAATATACGCCCCCAGCATCACAATCTGGCCGAACGAGGTGACTGAAAGGATCAGACTTGATGGATTGTGCCACATGTCATCGTATCCCAATTTTGTGAATCGATGCCGATGATGACAGTCACAAACGTGTCCGGTCCAAACCGGGTTTGCAGACCGCGGTCATATGGCTGTAATATTGACGAGTGCGGCATTAAACAAACCAACCAACCTTATTATATACACTTGACGTGATCAGATAAGCGTTTATTGTTTATGTAATGGTAATCGCCTTATTAAGCAATATTCCCGATCTATTTAACGCGACTAATAAGTATTTGTTGTCTGAAATGCAATCACCATAACTAACGTGTACAGATAAATATCTATACATTATACTTCTATTGTACATAACATTAAGTACAAACGTTACATACATTCTTCAAAAAAAGAAACGCACAGGGGGTATGCAGTTCATTAAAACTGACAATACAAAATATCCGGTATATAAATTGAATATATGTTATTGGAAAATGTGGGTCTCCTGATATTCGACAAACGGTGCGTCAAAACGCAGCCATTGTCGATTTCAATGACTTAAACGGCATTGTTTTCACACTTGTTCAAAAATGTCATGGAGGAAAAGAGCAAAGCAGAATGCACGTGCAAGTTATGGCATTCGTAACTCGTGGTAGTGGCTATAAAAAGGCAAGAATAAACCAATAATTTGTCATTCAATTGTCAACATTTTTTCAGGTTCGAAAATGCCGAGACTCAGCATAGCCGATCGGAACATCGCCATAGGACGTATCCAAAGAGAGGAATCGCAGTCTTATGTTGCATGTCACTTCAACGTCCGCCACAGCACCATTTGCCGCCTTTGTGACCGATACACACAGTTCAATTCCAATGTAGACCGTCCGATAACCGGCCGACCAAGAGTTATCACCCCTGCACAGGATCGCTACATTCCACTGTTCCACTTACGTCATCGCAATGCTACAGCGACGGAGACTGCAGGACGCATCCCTGGTTTGAGGACGATATCGGACCAGACTCTCAGGAACCATCTTCTGGAATTCAGTTATCGTCCCTGTTTTGCAACAGATCCATCGACAGCGACGCTAGCGTTGGTGTCATACCTTACAGTCTTGGAATTTGAGAAATTGGAGAGTTTCACGATTTCTTCCTCACCGGCGAGATGGAAGACAAGGTGTAAATCGTCGTCGAAATGAGCGTTTTGTCCCACATGTGTACGTGAATTCGACAAATTCGGTGGCGGAAGTGTCATAGTGTGTGTGTGTGTGGGGGGGGGGGGGGGGGGGGGGCATATCCTATACCAGGAGGTCTGCATTAGTTGTGGTTCAATCTGACATCAAATCGCTACAACCTCACCTTCTTCCATTCAACAGGACAACGCTCCACCACACACAGCTCGTGTCACGGTAGACTACCTTCATAATCTCAGCCCTAAGGGATGACTCGATCCACGTGTACGTCAACGTCAGAACACGCCGCAGACACTCCAACAACTGGCCAACGCGTTACAAGCAGAATGGCGAGAATTCCACAGGACAGAATTCGTACACTTATCCAGTCAGTGCCGAGGAGATGCAGAGTCGTGTTTGCTGCCCGGGGCGGTCGCACGAGATACTGAGTTCAGCGCAACCTTATGGCCTTATGTGACATGGCAATGAACAGTTTTCAATGCCTGTGCACAACGACAACATGTGACTATCGAGCTCCAAAATTTCATATTTGTATCTATGATATTACACTAAATATATCGACTTTACATTCACTAAAAATCTACCTGTGCGTTTCTTTTTTTGAAGAGTGTAGATTAAAGTGAAACAACCACATAGATTAAAGTACAAGCTGTTTCCAGCTCCAATGTCACTAGCGTTGTTGTTGTAGCCTAACGTTGAATGATGGGAGCAACAGATTGGCGCTAGCGAGGCCACAGTGACTTATTTACATCATAAACTGGTACCTCCCAAACTGTTGCCATGACAGCAAGGTCAGGTTGACTGAGTGAAACCAACTACATTCTGATGTCAAACAAACCTGTAGGAACTGAAACATATGTTGTCTGAGTATATAATTGATATAAAATTAACGCGTCTTGTAAAATTTATTTAAACTTGATGCAATTTTCACCAAAACTCGTGTGACCCAAACAATCCTCTGTTTTAATTCTAACGAGGTAAAACATGTACAGCTTTGACATACGCAGTGCAACAAAACTGGTATCAAATTTTCATTGTGAAATTTCTGACTTTGATGAAAAGTCGGCTATGTCATTCACTGTAGAGGAACTTGAGTCGCTCCCACACTGCCAGGTGAATGGGGAATCTCGGGGCTCAAGACATATCAGATATTGCAATCCATTTGGCTATTATACTAGTAGTTTTTTTTCCAAGATTAGAATCCAAGATAGAAAAGCAAGAACGCAACAACAGGATAAATAATATAATGTTATATGGAGTGCTTGAAAAACAACATGAATCCTATATGGCGTGTAAGGAATGTACTGGTAGCATTGAATAGTGCCAGAGAGGTAGAGAAGAAATGTTCCCTACTCAATTCCAGAGATGCAGAACGTGCATATCGTATTTTGACGAAGAATCCTAATACACCTCGACCTCTTATCGTGAAGATGCTACACTGGGACGATAAAATGATGAGGAGTGTCCTTAAAGATCAAGGGTATGACATCTCTAATGACTTGACTTTGAATCAGAGGCAAGAATTACTACAATGCACAACAGATGAACCAGACACACGGTTCTACAACAAAGGAGGGGAATTAGTGAGGGAAACCAAAGAGGGGAGAGATACAAGTAAAGACGAAGCTGCACAGGAAGCATATCTGGAGACAAAGAGAGAGAAGGAAGACAACAGGATGGACGGGACGTAAGGATGAGAGACGGGATACGCACTCGAGGTCACAGAGGTCAGCAGCAGGGAGACGGAGATAAGGGTGTGGCCAGGGCTATACACTGATTTCACTGCCCATGAAGAGAACCCATCAAGTGAGAGAAGCGATAGAAATAACAGCTTACTTTACTTTCTCTCCTGGAATGTTTCAGGCATCAAATATAAGTAAACAGATAATGACTTTGTCAACTTTGTCAACAACTTTGATATAATTGGTGTTACCGAAACTTGGAGGGAGAATGTAGAGGATGTGAAAGTCACTTTCACAGACTTTACCCTTTATAGTAAAGATGCTGATAGACTGTCTAAGACAGGCAGACATTCAGGTGGGATAATAGTACTTGTAAAGAAGCAACTACAGCAATATATTAAATGGTGGAAAATAACGGAAAATTGTATATATATATATAGATATATTGATAATTCCTCGCTCGGCTGTCAATCTGACATACTATATGCATGTGTATATATTCATCCTGAGGGATCTAGCTGGTATAACATTTTATCTGTTGATTGTAAAAATGGCATCACTATATTTCAAAACCGTTTGTTGGACATTTTATCAGAATTAAGAGATGCTATTGTTATCTGTGGTGGAGACTATAATGCCAGAACTGGAACGAAGTCGGATTTTGTAGAAGATGACATTATTAAATATATCGAAGGGCTGGGGCAAGGTAACTCAAGCTGGAGTTTTATGTGCGATTATTTTTGCTTAAATCGTTTCTCAAGTGATATTAATGTAAACAAATTTGGTAAATTCATGTCATGAACGGAAGATCAGGAACTGACCGTGAAATTGGGGATTATACATTCATTCTTTTAATATTAACAAAAGACTTGAGTGTTGGGCCAATACCATAGATAAAATTTCGGAATCGCAGGCTGGATTCAGGAAAGGATATTCAACAGTTGATAATGTCTGTATGTTGCAATCTCTGATTCAGCGCTTTATCAACAACAAAAAGTGGGGAAGTTTTATGGATTGTGGTGACTTTTCTAAAGCATTTGATTCTATACACAGGTGTAAACTATGGAGATTATTTACTGCACGTGGACTCAGTTTCAAAATGTTGAAGTTCGATGTCTTATATGTTTGAATGCAAATTTAGCGTCCGCCAAGCATGTATATTGAGTCCGTCTTTATTTTACTTTTTCATAAATGAATTAGTATCGGAAATCCATACCAATTGTTCACACGGCATTCAGTTACATCCAGTTGTTCTTCAACTCTTTCTTGTATTATTTGCAGATGATATTATCATGTTCTCAACCACAGCTGGTGACTTGCAAAAGCAAATTGATGCCTTAGAAAATTACTGTGATAAATTGAAACTTACTGTTTATAGAGTCAAACCAAAATTATTGTATTCAAAATGAAAAATGGTCCATTAAAGGTGAAAGTCTGAATGTGACTACACACTATAAATATTTGGGTGTTTATTCAGTAACAGTCTAAATTGGTCTATTCATTCAAGAGAAGCATCAGCTCAGGCTAAAAAGGTTTTATTTGGCATGCTAAAGTAAATACATATCCTTGGTGATATAAGTTACAAGTCATTTTTTAAGATCTTTGATGTTAAAATTAACACAATCTTACTTTACAGTGCTGAAATATGGGGATTAAAACAATTTAATGACATCGAAAAGGTCCACTTATTTGCGTGTAAAAGATTTCTCGGTGTAAAATCCAACCCATCTAGCCAATGGTTTATGGAGAATGTGGTAGATTTCCTCTGTTCATATATTCACAGCTGAGAGTCATAAAGTACTGGCTGAAACTCCTTAAAATGAATTCATCTAAGAAATGTTACAATATGATGATGTTATACGATACGAATGGAACGACTAATTGGGTAACTTATGTGAAAAAATTGTTATTCATTTGTGGATTTGGAAATGTTTGGTATGATCAATTTGTACCATCTGAAAGCGTATTTACCCATTCTTTTCCGCAGAGGTTACAAGATATTTATCTGCAATCGTGGTCATTTTCGTTGACATTATCGAATAAATGTTTATATTATAGAATGTTGAAAACTCATATACACACTGAACAGTATCTGTTTTATGTAAATATAAAGAAATACCGCAATTCATTAGCAAGATGTCGATGTTCATCCCATGATTTATGCATCGAGGGTGGGAGATATAAAAAACTCCAATATTATGTAAAATGTGTAGTAGGCAAGATAAAGTGGATGAATATCTCTTTTTACTTGTATGTCCATTGTACTCCACTGTGAGAGAACAAATATTTTCCTTTGTATTACTTTAACGATCCAAATATTGTGAAATTCCGACAATTGTTAAACAGTCTAGATAAATTAATAATGCAAAACTTAGCCATGTACATATTCCACGCACTGTTATATAAACCAAATCTGTAAATAATAGTTCAAATTGTGTGCAACATCTCATGTCACATGTACTATAGGCCTGGGGCCTCTTAAGTACTTGATTAAAGATTGATTGAATTTTGTAAAAAGGAATTTGTATACATATGTAATTTATTATCTCGGTAAGATACTGTTCGCTCACAGTCGAAAAAGTGTACATTTATCGATGCAAGATGCAAAGTGATTAATGTTTGCTTTTTGTTTAGTAAAATAAACTTTTGGACATTTGTTTTGTAACCAGTTGTCTATTTACAATTAGTGTTACACTATATTTTATACTGCATCAGTTCAGATTAGACCCAGTGCCGCCGCGTCTTATGTAGTTCATATTTCCAATAGTCGTGAGACGAAGTCCCCATCAAGATATGAATCTCCTTCAATGAACCCATTCCTGTTTCTGCATATTGCTCTCGCCCACCAGAATGACGTATTGCCCTCACCCACAATTATATAAGAATTGCCCTTACCCACAAGGATGGCGTAAGTCAGGAAGAGCCATCGCATGTCTGTGATGAACGCACTACAGGCGAACCCGACCAGCTCGAAGACGCCTCCCAAGATCACACATGTTCGACAGCTGAACATGTTGATCGCCAAACTGGCCACGGGCCCTGGAACATGTATACAACATAATATCATAGAAGGGTGATTATTAATTTATTTTCAGGCCAAATTAAATAAGTATGTGAATTAGGGTTCAATGCCGAAATCGGGAGAATTGTGTCAATAAGGACGGACTTCACATAATCGAGACAGGACCATGAAACCAATGGTCGATAACATAAGCATCGTTCCGGGGTGTTGGTGTACAACGGCTTGCACTCGGCCATGTCACAGAACCTCATTACCCGAGCTACGGCTCTCACGGCTCTTACGACTCTTACAGCTCTCACGGCTCTCACGGCTCTCACGGCTCTTACGGCTCTTACGACTCTTACGGCTCTCACGGCTCTTACGACTCTTACAGCTCTCACGGCTCTCACGGCTCTCACGGCTCTTACGGCTCTTACGACTCTTACGGCTCTCACGGCTCTTACGACTCTTACGACTCTTACGGCTCTTACGGCTCTTACGACTCTTACAGCTCTTACGACTTTTACGGCTCTTACGGCTCTCACGGCTCTTACGACTTTTACGGCTCTTACGACTCTTACGACTCTTACGGCTCTTACGACTCTTACGGCTCTTACGACTCTTACGGCTCTTACGACTCTTACGGCTCTTACGACTTTTACGGCTCTTACGACTCTTACGGCTCTTACGACTCTTACGGCTCTCACGGCTCTTACGGCTCTTACGACTCTCACGACTCCAATGGCTTTTACGGCTCTTACGGCTCTTACGGCTCCTACGGCTCTTACGACTCTTACGACTCTTACGACTCTTACGGGCTCTTACGGCTCTTACAGCCAAACGGGACCAGTTAATCTCAAGACATTTCATTTCAAGTCATTTGTGACAAGAAATATATATGTTATTCGTTTCTTCGAGAGGTACTTTTCGTTTTGAAAATTACTTCTCAAACAAATGAACAAGATGTATGTTTCTAGTATAGAACCATTGCTGGCTTCTTGAACTTCGTGAAAACGCCAAATACAAGACACAGGGGGCCAGATTCACAAAGCGATCTTAGCTCTACGACTATCGTTAGTCCTTTTTTTTAAAGTATTGGAGTTACGATTGTCTTAGCATCAATGCGGTTCTGAAAAGTGGTGCCGTCAGGGGTCATTGGTCAATCATGAGAAATGTAATGGTTACGAGAGGTCAAGGATTAAAGGTGCAATCATCAATGTCTCGCCAAGAATCAATCGTCACGATGGCTCAGAGGTACAGATGCTCGAATAACATCTTGGTCAAACCACAATCTCACACATATGCATAATGTTCTGTGGGATGTTTCCCCCATCGGTAGCACTTGTAGTAAGTTAGTGTGTACGTCACATGTGTAGATCTGTCAGCAGCAATCCTAATATAGTCGCAAAACCTTTAGTTCCATGCTTGCATTTTTTTGGATATTTTGTCAACCATCATTTAAGAGAATCTGACTTTTTTCCTTTACTGCCAGACAAACGCCAACAAAACGCGATAGATTGTACACTAGGCGTTCAGCGTGCAACGGAAGAAACCATTTTCATTGAAAGGGGACTGCGGAGGTGTGCGCGTGAAGTTCATGCTTTACGTGTACTGGGCAATGCGCCTTGACCACTGACCCTCTACCCCTAGATGTGTTTATCGACTGAACGGATTAGCACATCACGAGTCTTCTTAAGTTCGTTTAACCTCAATGAGGAACACCTGACTGGTCACCTGTTAGAGCGAACATGCTGGCGAAGAGGGACCCCAGCCACGCCGTGACGGTCACGTCCTCGTTGTAGTGTTCCAGCAGCGCGACGTGCACGACGCCGGCGCAATACGACACCGTGCCCCCCAGCAGCAGGGCGAAGAAGGACGACACCATCACCACCCACTTCCACCACTGGGGACTGTGTACAGTGGTTGCCATGGCAACACACCAATGACCTGGTCAGTGGTCTGAAATATTAAACATAAAAGGAAGACAATGTAGAAGAAATGTAAATTCTGTCATTTTTTATCAATCAACATGTTATTTCGACGAGTGGCCTGATTAAATGGATATTGCTATGATTGGAGCAACGTTGTAGGTCACGAGAGGAGCTCAACACTTTACAATAAAAGCAACCAAAACATTTCCATACCAAGGACGATTCCGACTCGATACTGTAAGCATCACCATCAAATTATTATGATTCCAAGTGTTCGCGAAAAGATGGGAGTATGCTGCCTCATCGGTACCCTTCACAAAAACATGTAAAGTCAAGTCAAAATGGGAAATTGCACCGGGCATATTGTTTGTCACTGACGTGTCAAATTTGGAACTGTCCTCCACGAGACTTACAGAAAACTGCCTGAAAGCTTTAATGATGCATTGAAAGCTGTAATACCAGGATCAAACAGTTTCTGAGCAAGGATACTAAGACGCTGTTATTAATAATTGTACCAACTACAGGCCATTTACTTTCACGTCATGTTCAGCCAAGACATTTTATTTACTTAGAGATAATGATATTTTGTCAATATTACAGTCAGGTTTAATAGCTGGAGATTCCATGTAATGTCAACTCACGTACTTATACAATGAGATAGTTACTGCTTTAGGTAATGGTACGGAAGTAAGGTCAGTGTTCTGTGAGGTAAGTAAGGAATTAGATAAGGTATGGCTCAAGGGATTATCATCAAAATTTAAAGCAGTGGGCATCAATTGAATTTTATTGAAATGGTTAAAAAACTACTTGTCCAATCGATCACAGAGAGGAGTAATTAATGGTCAGGAATCCAACGTAAAACATTTAGCAGCCGGTGTACCTCAGGGATCTGTTTTGGGTCCCTTGTATTTGTTTTATTTATATAAATGACATTGTTGATAATACACGACTGATTGCTGATGACACGTCGCTGTGTAGTATTCGAAGATCCCCTGACTACAAGCAGCATACTTTATGGTGATCTCCACAGAATCGTATAATGGACTGATAAATGGCAAGTTAATCCAGAGAAGACAGACTATTCAGTTTTAACGCAAGCGTCTACCTTGTCATAGAGACGCGTGTATCCTTGAAAGGGGGATTATTCATGAGCTAGGATCTCATAAGCATGAAGGAGTCGCATTGGAGGGAGGCGCCCCCTGACGTGAACATATCAGTAATATTGTTAAGAAAGCTAGCCGATGATACATTGCTTGAGGAGTTCTGAATACCGCTTTATACCATGTATTTATCTCTTCTTTTGCCAGTATTAGACTACAACTCCAATATGTTGGAATCACTGCACATCACAGCAGGACTTACTCTGAGGGTAGCTTCATCTTGATGCCTGGAGAACAATATGTGGTGCAACGGGTGGTCAGAGCTATAGCAAATTTTAAAACAAAACTGGTCTACACCCTCCCAAAAAGAATAGAAAAGTAAAAAATCTGTTTATATTATAAACTGATACATAATATTGCTCCAGAATATCTGTGTAATCTCGTTCAGCGTCAGACAGATATTGATAGGCATTACTTATAAAGCAATGGTATGCAGTTACAAGAAATGGTTTGTAAGACTAAGTTTTGCTGTCAGTCATTTCGACCAGCTACGACCCGTCTTGGGAATCTGGTACCTGATGATGCTAAATATTCTTACATGTACGCGGGTTTTAAAAACAATACTGAATAATTCTGAAAATTGTATATACTTTCACTTAAATTACTGTACTCGATATTGTCAAATTGCAGTGATCTCAATACTCATAGATTTGAAAGACATATTTCAAATATTGCAGCATCTCAGTGTGGGTTTTATTTGGAGTCTCCACTTCGCTTCCTTTTCTTGTCCTACTTGTCATGCCATTAGAAGCACGATGTCCTACCACATAACGGGGTATTGATCTGAATACAGCATTGTGTGGTAACAAGAGATGCAAACTACACAATACGTATGTCTGTCCATGATTTTATAGAAAATAGTGGTAGGTTTGTACATTGAGTATAACTATATGTTTAGCTTATACGCATATGCCAGTAGTATTGGTAACATGAGTTACATGTCAAATTAAATGTAATTATGTAACAGGGTGGGCAGTTACATAAGCCAGTTAGGTCTGTTTACCAATCCCTTTCAAGTTAAATTGAATAAAATATGTTTAAACTAAATATGAAATACTTATAATAACAATATGAAATACTTATAATAACAATATGAGGTAGTGATGTAGTAGCAGTGGTCGTCGGTGTCCCCGCACTTCATACACTTTAGGAATTGCCTTTAATGTGATGACATAGATTCCGGTGTCCATACTGTGTAAATCACGTTGCGTGCACATCGTGTTTACGTCAGACTGCTCATCTAACCATTTACACTAAAAACTGTAGACAACAACAACAACAACACTGCTAATTCTATTGTCAGTCAGTCAGTGTGTGTAGGTTTGTGTGCAGGCAGCATCAGCATCAGTCTCTAACACTGTCATTAATGTAGAGTTTATGCAACGTATAGAGACGCATATTCATTACTACAGCCCCTGGCCAAAAGGACTTAACAATTCACCGCATGTAAATGCACATGTACTTTATGTACGCTGTGCTCTGAATTGCACATCCAATTTATCGCGGTATATTTTGCAGATAGCCTATTTCAATATTAAAAACATGTTTGGAGTTTGCATGTGTTTGTGACGGTGCGACCGGAGGCGCAGGATACGCTTACCTTTTCGCGAACACCATCATTATCTGATAAGTTATAAAATCACATGCTCATGGTATGAGCTTATAGCGCCTCAGCAATGGTTTGACTTCTCTAAGGACTTATTGAATTGTAAAGACAAAATGTTACCACCTAACGTCGATACAACAGTATATAATTATATTGATCCTCACATATGTAACAGTTGTTTAGATGTTTCCCTCCCAGAGGAGATGTTGGCTTGTGATATTTCTGATGAAGAAGTGTATTAATGAGTGAACATGGAACAATGCAGCGAGTAAAGGCGGTATTCCTCTTTTTTTTAAATCCTCTGGTGCCATCCAAGTTCCCTATTTGAGAGAACTATTTAAAAAAGTTTTATATTTAGTTATATTTCTAACAGTATGGAACATAGGTGTGCTTGTTCCTTAGCCGAAATCCGGTAACTTGAGTGAACCATCTAACTACAGAGGTATTTCGCTCCGATATCTCGGGTAAACTATTTACCAGCATTTTAGAAATTGGTTTAGGTTATTGTTGGAACTAAATGAATTACCTAGTGAGGAACAGTGCGGGTTTAGACATTTGACCTCGAGATAGGAAAAAAGCTTATATATATGTTCCATACTAAAGGATGTCATGGAAAAATGCATTTAATGTTGAAGTGCATGTATGAGTGAAAACTAACTCGGATAAGACAGGGACGTTTAATACCATATCAGGTGTGCGACAGGGCTGCGTCCTGTATCCACTATTTTCCATTTTCTTTATAAATGTATTTAAGAGAAATGCAGTAATGGGATATGTGTAACTCAAGAAATTAAGGATCTACTTTTACTTTTATTTTGTTACCTGAGAAATACAAGATATTAGGAAGAACCAAGTTCCTATTGTAAATCTGGCTCCTTTGAAAACGAGTTCCATAATCTTTTTATCTGTGACGCCTTTGCTTCCAAAAGAAATATTTGCCACATTTAGAATATACACTCTTCAAAAAACGAAACGCACAGATAGATGTTTAGTAAATTCATAGTACCTAATAAAGTCGATATATTTAAATTAATATCATAGATACAAATATGAAATTTTGGAGCTCGATAGTCACATATCGCCGTAGTTCATTGTTATGTCACATAAGGCCATAAGGTTGCGCTGAACTGAGAATCTCGTGTGATGGCTCCGGGCAGCAATCACGGCTCTGCATCTCCTCGGTACTGACTGAATAAGTGTACGAATTCTGTCTTGCGGAATTCTGCGCCATTCTGCTTGTAACGCGTTGGCTAGTTGTGGGAGTGTCTGCGGCGTGTTCTGACGTTGACGTAAGTGTCGATAGAGTTCATCCCAGAGGTGTTTGATTTGTCGTGAAATCTGGAGATCTCGATTGCCAGGGCAAGTCGTTGATGTTGGCATTATGAAGGTGGTCTACCGTGACACGAGCTGTGTGCGGTGGAGCGTTGTCCTGTTGAAACAGCTCCCTCTGGTGGTCAATGATTGGAAGAAGGTGAGGTTGAAGAATTTGATTCATGTAGCGATTTGCTGGGAAATTTCCCTGAACTACAGATCTCTGTGTGTAGGCTATGGCCCCCCACGCCATGACACTACCGCCACCGAATGTGTCGAATTCACGTACACAATGTAGAGCAAAACGCTTATTTCGACGACGATTAACACGTTGTCTTCCATCTCGCCGGTGAAGAAGACGTCGTGATTCATCGCTAAACCATACTCATCTCCAATTTCTAAAAATCCAAGGCTGTAAGGTATGGCACCAACGCAAGTGTCCCTGTTGATGGATCTGTTGCAAAGCAGGGACGATAACAGATCTTCCGGGTCGGATTCCAGCCTTGCGAAGATGGTTCCTGACAGTCTTGTCCGATATCCTCCTCAAACCAGTGATGCGCCCTGCAGTCTCCGTCGCTGTGGCATTCCGATGACGTAGGTGAAACAGTGGAATATAGCGATCCAGTGCAGGGATGGTAAATTTGGGTTAGCCGGTTCTCGGACGTTCGGCATTGGAATTGAACTGTATGTAACGGTCACAAAGGCGGCAAATGATGCTGTGGTGGACGTTGAAGTGGCGTGCAACAGAAGACTGCGATTCCCCTCTTTGGTAACGTCCTATGGCGATGTTCCTATAGGCAGCGCTGAGTTGACAATTGAATGACAAATTATTGGCTTTAGCTTGCCTTTTTATAGCCACTACTCACGAATGCCATAACTTGCACGTGCATTTTGCTTTACTGTTTTCCTCCATGACAATGCCGTTTCAGTCACTGCAGATCGACAATGGCTGCGTTTTGACGCGCCGTTTGTCGCATATCAGGCAACGAAGATTTTCCAAAAACATATCTCCAATTTATATACCGGATTTTTTGTGTAATCAGGTTCAATGAACTACATACTACCTGTGCGTTTCTTTTTTTAAGAGTGTACATACGTAAATCACCAAGTAATGTAGACTTTACACAACTTAAATGATGTTCATACTATTAAGTCAGTAGCCATCTTTATCAAACACATTTTCGAGATGATTTCAAAAGGGTGGTTAATTTAGCAAATTCCCTGTCAGCCACGTGACTACCAACTTTATTCTGTCCACTGAATTGTACTCTGGGCCGAAATACTGAATACTGCCTGATACAGTCGGAATCGTGCAATCGACTCTGCTTTCGGTGGAGATTTCTTATGAATATGGAAAGGGTTTTGTCGCTTTCATTTATCTCTCACCTTTTTTCTATTGAGTAAAGCAGAACCCCGTTAATCTTGAGTCTTCAGTTTCCAGGATAACTCAGTGTTATTGTGTTCATGAGCGCCACGTGCACCAATAATACCTGCTCCCTTGCACTTGAGTATACGCGGCGTGTGCTGCAGGTAGAGCAGGATCTGCTTACCCCTTTCGTGAACACCTGGTGTCTTCACTGTTTTTCAGGTATCCATTCGTATAATTGTCATTAAACATTTGCCATCAAAGACCTTGGATCTGTGTCAGCGGATAGTCGAGACGCATTGGCGTGTTGGGTTTATGTTATATTATATCATATTATTTTACACCTTACCTGGCTGAGGAAGAAATTTCGGATGATGATGCTTTGGCTTTGATTGAAGAAAACACTGATGCTTTGGCAGGAAGAAATGAGAATTTTAAAGAGAAAATTTGGGTATGGGAAATTGAAAAAGGAAACTTGAGAATTGAATCTGAAAAAGACATTAAGCTAAAACAACTTTCAGAAGGATGTCTCTCCCCGTACCTCAACAGGTGATGGATTGTTTGATCTGTCCAAGCAGAGTAGACTTGTTCCGCTCTTCACTAAACGCCTTGTTTGGAAGTTTTTCTTTCATTTTGAAAAGTTGGCTAACAGTTTGAAATGGCCTCAAAATCAGTGGACGATGTTGTTGCCAAGTGTGATGAGGGGAAAGCTGAGGAATTGATTCTGCCTTACCTTTTGAGATCAGTTCTGATCATCAGGTTATTAGGGCTCAAGTTTTGAAGGCATATGAATTGGTTCCTGAAGCTTACAGCGAAAGTGACCCGTGAAGATCGGGGTAGAATAGGTCTTCAGCAACCCATGCTTGCCGTAAAAGCGACTATGCTTGTCGTAAAAGGCGATTAACGGGATCGGGTGGTCAGGCCCGCTGACTTGGTTGATGCATGTCATCGATCCCCATTGCGTGGATCGATGCTCATGATGCAAATCACTGGATTGTCTGGTCCAGACTCGATTATTTACAGACCACCTTCGTATAGCTGGAATATTGCTAAATGCGTCGTAAAACAACAAACCAAACCAAATACAGAGAAAGTTTAGGTCTGTTAAGAAAAGGGATGGTTCTGATTTTGTTGAGCTTGCAAGGGAGAAGGAAGTTCTGTTTGATAGGTGGTGTACTGGAAAGGAGGAGAATTGTAATTGTGATAGCTTGTGGCAGTTGGTTTGGCCGGAGGATTTTAAGCAGTGTGTGTCCACGGACATTCTGGCATATCTTCATGAGCAGAAAGTGGATCAGTTACACAAGGCTGCAACTCTGGCTGATGACTTTTTGCTAACTCACAGGGTTAGTTTTAAGCAGTCAGGGTTTACAGGCAGGAGTTTGCAGGGTCACACATCAGGACAGGATGGTCCATCCCCTCCTAGATCTAGTTCTAACAAGTCTGGTTCTAAGTTTGTTGACAAAAAGTCAAGTCCTTCTCCAGCTGGTTTTAAACCTACTTCTGGATTTTCGTCAGAGCCTACTTGTAGAAATTGCCTCAAGTCTTAGCTTTTGTAGACCAGTCATCAAAGTCTGTTGTTGTGAGAGAGGAGTACTCACCTTTTTTAGTAAAGGTTTTGTGTCGGCTAAAGGTGACAGTTCCAATGTTAAACCCATTACCGTTTCGAGGTATACTGGTGCCCTTCAAGTTCGGATTTTGGATGGTATTTTGCCACTTTCTGAGGAGTCATCAGCGAACTCTGAGGTTTTGTTGGAGGGTGTATGTGGTTGTACCATTGCACTTCACCATTTTGTGAATGTGAAGACAGATTTGGTGTCTGGGTTGGTCAAGGTGGGGTTTGTTGAAACTCTAGGTGTTTGACTGATCCTGTTGTTTGTCTTGAGCCTAGCACTTCGGAAAATACTATATTTAGATACTGGTGTGATGTGTAAACTTCCGGCATACCGTGGACTGGACAGCTTTCATGTGAGGATCACTCATCATCCATGATTTCCTGCCTAGCCCATACGGAAGCCTGACAACTGTCGCGGCTGGGTGAATATATATTAGTACCACTGTTCATTTAGGTACAGATTTCTAGATTAACATATTTTTTCAATTTTGGGAATCGACACATAACAAACATGACCTGTATGGGGCGTCTAAGGCCCTTCATTTCGCTTTGAAGAATTGTGCCCTAATTAGGCGTGTCTGAAACATGTAGTCGTGGGTTCGAATCCCAGTTGTCCTCCATATGACGCTCGGTTTGTCAGCACCACACCCGTAGTCATGGGTTTCGCGAAAGTGGTAAACGTCTAAGACCCGCATCACTTTAGGTTTTCTCTCTCTCTCTGACTAGGTGTGGTATAACTGGAATACTGTTTAAAGCGGCGTTCAACCCAACTCAGTACTTCATGGGGACCTGCTAAATAAAATGGCACCACTATTTTGCCATTTGCGCGCATTTAAATCTGATTGCGCAGATAAACGGTAAATAAATGTACAGGCGTTATAGGCTGCGTTGTACAGTTGTGATGGAGCACAAAATAAATAATCATACGATTATATGATTGGGCTTAACATTTATAGTTTACACACGAACACATTTAAATGATATCCGCCATCTGCATGGATAAAATATCATTCTATGTGGATGACGGTCTTCCGATGCCACGTGTGACAGGCATACGCGGCCCCGAGGCTCGCAGGAACTCACTAAACACTGTTACATTCAGAGAAAGCTGGGACCTCTAGGGGATCGGTACACTAACAGTAAACATTGATACATTCAGAGACAGCTGGGACCTCTAGGGGATCGGTACACTAACAGTAAACATTGATACATTCAGAGACAGCTGGGACCTCCAGGGGATCGGTACACTAACAGTAAACATTGATACATTCAGAGACAGCTGGGACCTCCAGGGGATCGGGTAAACTAACAGTAAACATTGATACATTCAGAGACAGCTGGGACCTCTAGGGGATCGGGTACACTAACAGTAAACATTGATACATTCAGAGACAGCTGGGACCTCTAGGGGATCGGGTACACTAACAGTAAACATTGATACATTCAGAGACAGCTGGGACCTCTAGGGGATCGGGTACACTAACAGTAAACATTGATACATTCAGAGACAGCTGGGACCTCCAGGGGATCGGGTAAACTAACAGTAAACATTGATACATTCAGAGACAGCTGGGACCTCTAGGGGATCGGGTAAACTAACAGTAAACATTGATACATTCAGAGACAGCTGGGACCTCCAGGGGATCGGTACACTAACAGTAAACATTGATACATTCAGAGACAGCTGGGACCTCTAGGGGATCGGTACACTAACAGTAAACATTAATACATTCAGAGACAGCTGGGACCTCTAGGGGATCGGGTAAACTAACAGTAAACATTGATACATTCAGAGACAGCTGGGACCTCTAGGGGATCGGGTACACTAACAGTAAACATTGATACATTCAGAGACAGCTGGGACCTCTAGGGGATCGGGTACACTAACAGTAAACATTGATACATTCAGAGACAGCTGGGACCTCCAGGGGATCGGGTAAACTAACAGTAAACATTGATACATTCAGAGACAGCTGGGACCTCTAGGGGATCGGGTAAACTAACAGTAAACATTGATACATTCAGAGACAGCTGGGACCTCTAGGGGATCGGTACACTAACAGTAAACATTGATACATTCAGAGACAGCTGGGACCTCTAGGGGATCGGTACACTAACAGTAAACATTGATACATTCAGAGACAGCTGGGACCTCTAGGGGATCGGGTAAACTAACAGTAAACATTGATACATTCAGAGACAGCTGGGACCTCTAGGGGATCGGGTACACTAACAGTAAACATTGATACATTCGGAGACAGCTGGGACCTCTAGGGGATCGGGTACACTTACAGTAAACATTGATACATTCAGAGACAGCTGGGACCTCAAGGGGATCGGGTAAACTAACAGTAAACATTGATACATTCAGAGACAGCTGGGACCTCCAGGGGATCGGGTACACTAACAGTAAACATTGATACATTCAGAGACAGCTGGGACCTCTAGGGGATCGGGTACACTAACAGTAAACCTGTAACAGCACTGCATCATACTCCTTTGGTGAAAACTGCACTGTCAGAAGGTCCCATCACGAGGACCCTCAGTATTTGTATGACGTTGCTGTGGATGTTGACATAAGCATCCTAGTTGTTTGATGAAGCGACTGGAAGGCTGCGCTGATCGTGTGGGTGGAATGTGAATGTGTTATGAATGTTACATGTATACACTCCACATGGACGCTAATACATATATTCATATAAGCTCCTTTTCCTGGTGCCATTTCGTTTGTCAGCTCTATTCTTTGTAAATAATGTCTTATTAGATTTGGCAATTAATAATTATATTAATTTTATTTCCTCATATTTAACACAACATCTATATGTTACACACCATCCTCACAAAAGTATTTTGCTGTAAATAAATGTCACTCTCCCAGTTATTGTTTACGATGAATGCGTTCCCTGAGCTCCAGAAAAAATAATAATAGCAATAACAATAATAATAGCAATATTTTAAAATAATAATAATAATAATAATAATAGCATATGTTGTTGGTGAAATATATCTATGTACAAAATAGTTCACGATGTCCTCGCCTTCCGCTGTGTTAGTTCATTAGAAATTAGATTAAAACATAAAATTAATGCATTACCTCTGATCGTCGTATAGGACGTTATGCCGACAGTGTTCACTGCAGGTGCTGCCGCCTAAATGGCGTTCATGTATTGCCTAAACATGTATCATGTGGCAGCCTCCCACTCCCTCTTCTCAGTTGCATCCCTGCATCCCTGCTTCACTGCTTCACCAGCATCTACATTCGTTCACTGAAGCGCAGTGTTATGTCCACGGCATCACCATATAACGTCTATCGATGTGATCTGAGATAATACCTATTATGTTTGTTGTGTACATATATACATGAACAGATGTCAGAGGAGAAGGGAGGGAGAGGGGGGGAGAGAGAGAGAACTCACGCACCATCCAGCACGTGTATGTTGTATAGAAACCGTCGCCCTCACACACCCTTCTTAACCACACGGTTGTGAAGGGCCGATGTATAGCTTCCTTCCGCTGGCATAATGTAACGGATACCGCCTCGCTCTGCCGTCATTACTTACTCCGAGATGGTACTTGATGGGAATAACATAGGAAGCCTACCTGCCACGGGGGATCCGCTCCTGTTGTCTTGTCCTGAACAGCGACACTGACACGTCTAACGGACTCCGCCACACCTTAGGGGCCGGGATCCTCAGTCTCAACAGCGTGGGACTCACTCAAGCGTACCAAACTGAGGTAAAAACTAGGTCGCTGACTCCACCGTGACGTGTTTCAGGCGAAGCAACAATGGTCGACTTGGAAACTGCACACACCACTGCTGTGTAGTATATATTTTTTATCAACAGCGTAATATGACAACATGTATTCCGTTTTTATTTAACGCTTCAGTTAATTTAGAGAAATAATTGCACCGAGTTGTTAGACAATTATAATCTTCCCCTACATATATACGAGTTGTATAGCGTATAGTCTGTGAACTTTAGTACATAATGTGGTTGATTCAAATGGACACAGATGGCATGCAAATACAATTACTGGTATATTAAATCACGCGATGAAAATGAAACTGAAAACTGAACATTCGAACACAGTTTGTGGCGTCTGTTTATTAGGCCACCAATGACATTGTACGCAAATACAATCGGTACCCGAGGCAACCTGTTTTGTTTTCTCCTGACATCGACACGGTGTGATTATCTTAATACGAATAACCTGTTACCTGTACCCGTACATTTGCCGAATAGAGGAGGGTCTTAGCGCCAAGGTGTTCTTAACTCCAATACCTTAGCATAGACTTACGCCTGTCGTAGCGCTACGGTCGCTTTGTGGAACGGGGCCCTGTGAACTACAGTTTTTTTCCATAAATAACTCGGCTTTTCATTGGTCGACGGTACACTCCCTTCCATACTTTCATCCTTTCAGTCCATCATCCACGTGTTCGTACGGAATGAGAACAAGTTTCCTTGTGTCCTGCGTGTGTCTTGCGTGTCTCCTGCGTATGTCCTGCGTGTCTCCTGCGTGTCTCCTGCGTGTGTCCTGCGTGTGTCCTGCGTGTGTCCTGCGTATGTCCTGCGTGTCTCCTGCGTTTGTCCTGCGTGTGTCCTGCGTGTGCCCTGCGTGTGTCCTGCGTGTCTCCTGCGTGTCTCCTGCGTGTGTCCTGCGTATGTCCTGCGTACGTCCTGCGTGTCTCCTGCGTGTGTCCTGCATGTGTCCTGCATGTGTCCTGCGTATGTCCTGCGTGTCTCCTGCGTATGTCCTGCGTGTCTCCTGCGTGTCTCCTGCGTGTGTCCTGCGTATGTCCTGCGTGTCTCCAGCGTGTCTCCTGCTTGTCTCCTGCATATGCCCTGCGTGTCTCCTGCGTGTCTCCTGCGTGTCTCCTGCGTGTGTCTTGCGTATGTCCTGCGTGTCTCCTGCGTGTCTCCTGCGTGTGTCCTGCGTATGTCCTGCGTGTCTCCAGCGTGTCTCCTGCGCGTGTCCTGCGTATGCCCTGCGCGTGTCCTGCGTTTCTCCTGCGTTTGTCCTGCATGTGTCCTGCGTGTGTCTTGCATGTGTCATGCGTGTCTCCTGCGTGTCTCCTGCGTGTGTCCTGCGAGTCTCCTGCATGTCTCCTGCGTGTGTCCTGCGTGTGTCCTGCGTGTCTCCTGCGTGTGTCTCCAGCGTGTCTCCTGCGTGTGTCCTGCGGGTGTCCTGCGGGTGTCCATGTCCTGCGTGTCTCCTGCGTTTGTCCTGCGTGTGTCCTGCGTGTGCCCTGCGTGTGTCCTGCGTGTGCCCTGCGTGTGTCCTGCGTGTCTCCTGCGTGTCTCCTGCGTGTGTCTCCAGCGTGTCTCCTGCGTGTGTCCTGCGGGTGTCCTGCGGGTGTCCATGTCCTGCGTGTCTCCTGCGTTTGTCCTGCGTGTGTCCTGCGTGTGCCCTGCGTGTGTCCTGCGTGTCTCCTGCGTGTGTCCTGCGTGTCTCCAGCGTGTCTCCTGCGTGTCTCCTGCGTGTGTCCTGCGTGTCTCCTGCGTGTGTCCTGCGTATGTCCTGCGTTTGTCCTGCGTGTCTCCTGCGTGTGTCCTGCATGTGTCCTGCATGTGTCCTGCGTATGTCCTGCGTATGTCCTGCGTGTCTCCAGCGTGTCTCCTGCGTATGTCCTGCGTATGTCCTGCGTGTCTCCAGCGTGTCTCCTGCGTGTGTCCTGCATATGCCCTGTGTCTCCTGCGTGTCTCCTGCGTGTGTCCTGCGTGTGTCCTGCATATGCCCTGTGTCTCCTGCGTGTCTCCTGCGTGTGTCCTGCGTATGTCCTGCGTGTCTCCAGCGTGTCTTCTGCATATGCCCTGCTGGTGTCCTGTGTATGCCCTGCGCGTGTCCTGCGTATGCCCTGCGCGTGTCCTGCGTGTGTCCTGCGTGTCTCCTGCGTGTGTCCTGCGTGTCTCCAGCGTGTCTCCTGCGTGTCTCCTGCGTGTGTCCTGCATGTGTCCTGCATGTGTCCTGCGTATGTCCTGCGTATGTCCTGCGTGTCTCCAGCGTGTCTCCTGCGTATGTCCTGCGTATGTCCTGCGTGTCTCCAGCGTGTCTCCTGCGTGTGTCCTGCATATGCCCTGTGTCTCCTGCGTGTCTCCTGCGTGTGTCCTGCGTGTGTCCTGCATATGCCCTGTGTCTCCTGCGTGTCTCCTGCGTGTGTCCTGCGTATGTCCTGCGTGTCTCCAGCGTGTCTTCTGCATATGCCCTGCTGGTGTCCTGTGTATGCCCTGCGCGTGTCCTGCGTATGCCCTGCGCGTGTCCTGCGTGTGTCCTGCGTGTCTCCTGCGTGTGTCCTGCGTGTCTCCAGCGTGTCTCCTGCGTGTCTCCTGCGTGTGTCCTGCGTGTCTCCTGCGTGTGTCCTGCGTATGTCCTGCGTTTGTCCTGCGTGTCTCCTGCGTGTGTCCTGCATGTGTCCTGCATGTGTCCTGCGTATGTCCTGCGTATGTCCTGCGTGTCTCCAGCGTGTCTCCTGCGTATGTCCTGCGTATGTCCTGCGTGTCTCCAGCGTGTCTCCTGCGTGTGTCCTGCATATGCCCTGTGTCTCCTGCGTGTCTCCTGCGTGTGTCCTGCGTGTGTCCTGCATATGCCCTGTGTCTCCTGCGTGTCTCCTGCGTGTGTCCTGCGTATGTCCTGCGTGTCTCCAGCGTGTCTTCTGCATATGCCCTGCTGGTGTCCTGTGTATGCCCTGCGCGTGTCCTGCGTATGCCCTGCGCGTGTCCTGCGTGTGTCCTGCGTTTGTCCTGCGTGTGTCCTGCGTGTGTCTTGCATGTGTCCCGCGTGTCTCCTGTGTGTCTCCTGCGTGTGTTTCCTGCGCTTGTCCTGCGTGTGCCCTGCGTGTGTCCTGCGTGTGTCCTGTGTGTCTCCTGCGTGTCTCCTGCGTGTGTCCTGCGTCCGTCCTGCGTGTCTCCTGCGTGTGTCCTGTGTATGCTCTGCGTGTGTCCTGCTTGTGTCCTGCCTGTGTCCTGCGTGTGTCCTGCGTGTATCCTGCGTATGTCCTGCGTGTGTCCTGCGTGTCTCCTGCGTGTGTCCTGCGTGTGTCCTGCGTATGTCCTGCGTATGTCCTACGAGTCCGAGTCAGTCTTGCAGTATGGGTCCTGTTTCGTTTTGAAACAATGCCCTTGCTGGTGGTTTTGTCAGAACGGAAGCAAAACTGGCTGCAACACTTGGTCTCTGTACTGCACAGCGTTCAGGTATCCCTGTATAATCACCAAATCAGTCTACTCATCTCTACAAATACCGATCCACACCATGACACCTCCGCCGCCGAATGAATGGACCTCTCGAATACACGCCAGAGCCAAACGTTCCCCTATGCGTCGATAAACTCGTTCTCTGCCTTTATTTCGAAACAAGTTAACCCGACTTTCATCCGTAAACAGCACTCGACGCCAATTTCTCACTTGCCAGCGTCGAACCAGCCTCGCCCATGGAAGTCTCAGGCGTCGATGTTGAGCAGTCAGTACTATTCCTCGGAAAGGACGATGCGCTCAGATTCCAGCAGCACGAAGTCGTCGTAGTACTGTACGTTGGCTAATGGGATGTCCCAACGCTGTTGCTGCAGTCGCCGTCGCTGTTACGAATCTGAATGAGCCCTATCTGACCGTATTCCAGTGGTGTTGTCACTCGGGGTCGTCCGGTTCTGGGCCTGTCCTGTGTCCTCCCTGTCTGTCTGTACCGTTGAATCAGCCTGGCAATGGTGTACAACAAAACCTTCATGTAATTTGGACCTGTGTTGCCCCCATTTCGGCCATACCGATGTCTCTCTCTCTCTCTCTCTCTCTCTCTCTCTCTCTCTCTCTGTCTCTCTCTCTCTCTCTCTCTCTTTTGTGTGTTTTCATCAAAGGTTAAAAAGTTTTATTGGTCTTTACTGAGCTTCCTATATTCTATATCACTGCAAACAATACCCTTAGCCTTTGCTAACAAACGCAACCCGATAAAGGTCAAACGCATTCATTATCTAAGAAGGATAAGATTGATGGATAAACAAACTGTGGTGACTTGCTTGATAACGGTGTTAGAACCTACACCGAAACGTCGCCCCTAACTGTAATAAAGGAGTTGTTCGTCTATAAATCTTTACCTTACTTAGTACTCCAACTTCTAAAATCTTCTTCTTCCAGAAGACAATCAGTATCTGGTTAATCTGTATCCATCAACGGCTTGGGGTAGCTGACTCACAGCCCACAGTCTGCAGCAACTCAGTAATTAGAGGTTAGGTCTACTATCGCCTACAGCGCACTTTGCCTACAGTCTTATCAAAAAAATGTAATGCACCAGTGGCTGTCACAAATGAGGTGAATTGTACGGTGGCCCATAAGGGACATGGAGTCTGTTTTGCCATATTTTGATATTTCACTTGCTGTTATCGTAACCTGTTGCAAATTAACACGATTTGTCTGACAAATATGTGATAAATCATGTTTAAAGAAGATATTGAATCGCTGAAAAACGAAACGAAAATGTCAAAAACTAAAATGAAACTACAGAAAACTATTTCCACCGCGGTGATAATATTTCTACCACGGTGGAAATAGTTTCTAATAGTTTTCTTGAGTTTTTCAAGTTTCCTTTCTCTATAATTTCCACCGCGGTGGAAAGTCACGTGACAATGATAACCTCGTTTTGGAATGACGGCCATTTTGTACCTGCTCCACAAACATTAAGATCACTATTCCTGAAAACTACATGCCTTTTGGCTCAGAATCCACAGACAGAGATGAACTAATTGAACGTTATTTTCATTTAGGCTTCTCTTACAAAGAGATTACCATGTTTTTATGTGTCCTTCATGACATAAATGTGAGCGTTAGACACTTAAAGAGAATTCTGCGACATCTACAGCTGACTCGAAGAAAGTTTAAAGATGATGTAGAGACTGTAATTGGCGCCATTGAACAGGAACTCCGAGGCAGTGCTTTCACTCTGGGTTACCGATCTATGCATAGACGACTGCACCAGTTACATGGGATTGTGACTGACAGGGAAACTGTCCGTTCAGTATTGAAGATATTGGATTTTGATGGTGTACTGTCAAGGCGTCAGAGGAGACTGAGACGACGAGATTATAGTGTGAAAGGCCCCAACTATCTCTGGCACATTGACGGGTGGGATAAATTGAAACCATACGGTTTCAGTGTACATGGTTGCATCGATGGGTTTTCAAGGAAAGTGCTGTGGTTAGAAGTTTCAGCGTCAAACAAAAACCCTTACGGAATATGTACAAACTTTGTCAGTACAAGTATGTCATTGAGAGGGATTCCTTATGTTATACGGGCAGATAGAGGCACAGAAAATGTTAACGTAGAAATAATGCAAGAGTGTCTCAGGGAATCGTTTGGCGACAGCAGAGCCCGCCTTCAAGCTACTTTTTTGTATGGGAAGTCAACGGCGAATCAGAGGATCGAAGCATGGTGGAGTAAGTTCAAGCAACAGGGGATGGCTTTCTGGATCAATCACTTCAAAGAGCTAGTCGACAATGGCATTATGGACACATCTTCAGATATGTCGATCAAGTGTGCAAGATTTTGCTACATGGAGTTATTACGTAAGGAACTAAACCTTACAGTTCAACTTTGGAATACTCATCCAATGAGAAAATCCAGAAACATCACTTCTCCTAATGGACAACCAGACGTCATGTATACCTTTCCAGAGATGTACGGTGCATGCGACTACCTAAGACAGTTGAACGAGGATGATCTACTGCCCCTTGCAGAGGCACTGACAGCAGATGAACCCGAATGCAACGACAGGGCTTATGATTTATTCAAGGTAATGATGGAGGAGGAGAATCTGCAAATGCCCAGGAACATCAGTGAGGCTGACGATCTCTTCGTGTACATACTGGACACACTTGATGCACATTAAGTGGCATATACATTGTGTTAAAGTTAATTTCAGAACTTAACACACCGATAGATGGTTTGGTGTTTCTTTAGTGCTACTTTGACGTTTTGTCACAACAGAGAAAATCCTTCTATTATGTATTTCACCATTCTGCGTTTTGTTACATGTACAACTTCACATGATGTGGACAGCTATCTGTATTTTCAAAGCTTTGTTACCCATAAAGTTGAATTGTGTGTTGCCTAGTCCAAAATAACGTCTGGTTTTTAATTTGATGAACCAGCGTGCGTGCAATCACATAGAAAATACTCGTAGTCATACCAGAGACCACAGCTGACACGTACGTGATGAGTGTCCCTACTATGCATTGAGGTTTTCGACTTTCCGGAGTCACGGGATTATTGTCATGTGCAGAGGCTCCGGTCCATCAGCTGATTGAAATGAAATTCACGTATGTTATATATACAAAATAATGTTATCTCATGTGACTATCATTCTGTACATGTTTCCTATTACTATGCTTGCTGTACGAGGTTTGCAAGTTGTAAATGCGTCTCGTGTAGATTGCACAAACGCCCGGTTTTCAAATAGTCCCTGACATCCCAACTGGTAAATCTTTTCCCAAGTTATATTCACACACAGCGTTAACTAGTTGATCAAAAACTTTTAAATGAGTTGGAATAGTAAAACCATTCAACCGATAACCATTTTGTTGTATTATGGAGTAAATATGACCTCCATATGTGTTAACTCATTTCAGTTTCGGGCGGTTGGGTAGCCTAGTGGTTAAAGCGTTCGCTCGTCACGCCGAAGACCCGGGTTCGATTCCCGACATGGGTACAATGTGTGAAGCCCATTTCTGGTGTCCCCCGCCTTGATATTGCTGGAATATTGCTAAAAGCGGCGTAAAACCATACTCACTCACTCATTTCATATTCAGCCGACAGGTGATATAGTTCCTATTACGATCGTATCACTGTGCGTCTGGTCAAAGGTAACTTATAATAATACGTGTGTCAGTTTGTAACGCCAAGGACTCGCATTTGTGTTCACCCTCAATTTTCCTAACTTTTCGTTAACACAGATTTCAGTGGTAATGCAAGATTTGTTACTTGACTCAGTAGATCGTCACGTAATTAAGGTTTCTGTTTTGTAAGCATCATCCTTTGAAACCAGTTTTGTATAATAAACCTCAGTTCAGGGGCGTATCAAGAAGGAGTGAAAAACCATCATCTATAATATAATAAAAACAAACTGATGACGTTGAACCATGGCACCTTCTGCATCCTGCCCTTGTTTCGCCAGTACCAGCTGATCTTCGCAGTTTTCACTGTACTGTATGACTGTACTGTATACTGTACGACTGCCGTCGTTATGTAAAAAAACTGTTGACTCTTTAAAGAAGCCTCTAATTAAAATGGAGAGGGAACTCCGGGTAAAATAAAAGTTCAATTAAAAACACTTTTCATATTTAAATAAAATCACAAAGACCTGGTCTTCAGAAAACTTTTACTAGGGACTTAAATAGGTATTTTTGGCGAGTAACAGGTGAATGAACAAACACGGTCATATTCTATATAATCAGATACGTTAACATAACTTGGTAACTCTGATCCTCTGTATCTTTTTGCCAGAAATGTCTCAAAATGGCCAATAAATGTACCAAGATAAAAACGTTCCTCACTGAACTTAACACAATTAATTGTATGTATCATGATTTCTGAAAATCTCATGATGGGAATTTCACCATGACGCTGTTTATACTTGTGTCAAACATCTTTTGTATTTGTTCTGAATTAAATTACGACATTAAATGTACACCTGAAGATCAATTTGATAATAGAGATTTTGTCAAAAAGAGAAAATATTGAGTTTTAGCAATAAGCTAACAAAGAACAGAGTTTGAAACCACTGATCGTCGT